TTCTCGTAAAGTTGCATCTTAATTTTTTACAACCATACCATTGTAGCGCTCAACTGCAACGGCTTGGCCGGCCCCAATCCGGCTTGGCAGTCTTTTTCATTTAGGATGGGGTTAATATGAGAGCCGACTCATATTGTACATGTGTGGGCCCCCACTTAAACTTATCTTAAAAATGGATAGTTAATCCAAACTTTTAGGGATTCATGATCTTAAGATGATCTATAAAAATAAAATAATATTTTTATATTTAAAATGTGATTTCTTTTAGGAAAATTTCTACACCTTTTAAATCTATTTTAGCCTTCCTTTTATTTAATAAGGGAAACTTATAAAATAGGTGAGAATAAGGCGAATCCAGGGTCAAACGGCCTATACACCAGTTCCCAGCCTGCTTGCCTGTTTTTGGATTTTTGAAAGTCTCACTCATCTCCATTTTGAATGATTGAGTCAGCTCCATACAGAGACAAATGGAGTAAACCATCTCAAGTGCTACAAGTTGGCTTCTAGTATGAAAATTAACTGGTAAAACTTGTCTTGTTGATCAGGCTTTCCGACGATACGAACATATCTAAGTAATTGTCTCTCCATCATACCATAATGAAAATGCAATTTCTGGTTTTTTTTTTAAAAGATATTGAATTATTTTTTCAGAATGAGATTGATTTCTAAAATCACTTCAGGATCTAGGTCTTTTACCAGTTAGTCCCTGCAAAGGCCTCAGACAAGTGTTTTTTTGAAAAGAGGTCCTCGAGAACAAGACATACACAAATCAAAATTGCTCGGATGAGTTGTCAGTGAAATGTTAAGCTCTCTAGCTGCCTGGTTCGGGTGTTTTAGGGATTATTTCCCCTACAAGTATTTAGGATTACCATTACTACATTATGGGCCTACTAGAGGGATTTGGAACCTTGTGATAGAGAAGAGTGTATTACCTGATCATTGGACTTGTAGAAGCACAAAATGTATTGATTGCTTGATCGAATCTACTCTCTCAAACTTGTCGTTTTAGTACCTTTCTATGGTTAGAGCTCCAATGCTATCCTCCAAACAATGGATGAAGAACTTGTGAAGTGGGATGGATGATAAGAGGAGGTTCAGCCTAGTGTGGTGGGAGGTGGCTGGTACTTTGTATCCCAAAGAAACAAGGCGTTTTGGGAAATAGGAGGCTCAAACCAATGAATGAAGTCTTTCCAAAAAATGGCGGCAAGGTGATACGAAATTGGGAAAAGAGGCAAAAACAATTCATTAAGCCGTCAAAACACACCATATTTGAGTGGACTTTGTTTTCCTTATAATAAATAGAGATCCCGTAACCCTAAATTAGGTATGATGTCACTATTTACAACATGTTTTTTCTGTTCATGCTTCAAAAGTCTTAGAACCCGAATACCCCATGCCATTTTAGTACATTATAACAAAAAATACCAAAACTATCTCACTTAAGTTAAAACATTACCAAAATCTCCCAAAAGTCCCTTCATTTAATTTTAAAAATAAAAAGCCTCTAGCTTGCCCCTAACTTTAATTAAAACATTATAAATAACTATGAGACCATAAACAACAGTAACAAACCAAAAATAAACTCTTTCTAAAAGTCGACGACCTTCCCCTCCTGGACCGTTTTACAACCTTGCGATGTGAATCACCATAAAAGGGTTCGTCAAAGGATGGATTGATTGGGTTAAAAGGCCCGTGTGAATTGCCTCGGCTAGTCAAAGAACTGTCTGGTGCATCACAGATACTAGGCTTGGATCAACCTTTTCTATGAAAGTAGGCATTGTTAGCAATGTATGGCTCAAAGAAGGATTGGATCTCGATAAAAAGCCCGACGCCCAGATTGAAAGCCTATTACATCTGGTTTTGTAATCCTCTATTTGTTGGTACATACTTTATTTTTCTCCTCTTTTTCCTCACTTGAGCTCCGAGCCTACACAGATTTCGATTTTGTATGGAATCTAAGTTACTGCAAATCTATCACAGGGTTCTATATTTTTCTAAGTGACTCTCTTATATACAAAAAAATGTTTTGCTCAATCTACCACAGAAGTTGAATACAAGGCTATGGCACAAACTACCATTGTGATTGTTTACCTCCGTTGGCTGCTCACAAATATGGGTGTCAGTATTATTACGCTCACTCCACTTTATTGTGACAACAAGATTGCTATTTATATTTCAAAAAATTGAAGTTTCATGAATGCACCAAACATGTTGAAGTCGATTGCCACTGTGTTCAATAGACATATTTGACAGGCACACTCTGTCCTATATCTCTTTTGCTACTCATCTTAGGGACTTCTTTACTAAATCTCATTCTCCGCATCACTTCTCGCAATTTATTTTCAAACTCTCCATAATTCCTTACAAATCATCTCGAGCTTGAGGGGAAATGTGAACATATATAGCATCCTACAAAGGCAAGCATAACCGAATATTACATGGGCACAACGCAGAACTGTATGCTAAAATCGTATAGAAACTGCATCCTACAAGTTTAACAACTATTACTTATATATTGCATTTACATGCAATTCTTTCTGTATTTATCCGCCGTTGTAACATCAATTTTATCAATGAAGAGACATAGTTTCTCACATTTGCAACCTTGTAATGTGAATCACCATAAAAAGGTTCATCGAAGGATAGATTGATTGGGTTAAAAGGCCCATGTGAACTGCCTCAACTAGTCGAAAAACTGTCTGGTGCATCATAGATATGAGGCTCAGATCACTCTTTTCTATGAAAGTAGGCCCTGTTTGCAATGTGTGCGACGGCCCTTACATCAGGCGAATAGATTTTTGTAAGCCTCAGTACATTTGCAATGCATGCGACGGCCCTTACATATGCAGTTGTTCAAGAAAAAGTTCCCGGACGTGATATGGTTGGGAAGTGTTCCCTAAGTACAGGTCCCTTGGTTGTTTCAAAAGGAGAATTTTCAATAAGCTCATCGTATGAGCAGTTGGCTTCTGATAAATCGATCTAAACTTGCTGTCAGCATGCGAAGCTTGGGTGGCAGCACGTCGGGTCCGGTCCTAGTGCATCGGCAAATGCAAATCCAAAAGTATAGTGTGGGTCTCAAGCCCAAATTTGGAACAAGACTTGGATTTGGATCTAAATTCAAACCCGGATTTGAATAGTATTCAGGTCCAAATCTTGAACCCGAACCTGACCTGTTGGGTCCAATTTTTTAACCCAGACTAAGATCGGGTCTACCCTTTAAGTTCCAAGCCGGGTCCAAATCCATTGCCAATCCTTCACTGATCTCATTATTTGCCTGGTTAGACATAAGGAAACGAATGTTACAATTCAAATAGAGAAGCTTGATCCTAGCAAATCTTTGTTTACTCAACAACGCTGATGAGGAAACTGATGATCATTTATTCATTCATCATGCATTGCCCTTTTGCTGTCGGGAATCACAAGTGGGGAAGTACGAAGTTGGATTTCTTCAAGGTGCGTGTGACCAAGCTTGATTCGTCGAAGTTTTGATTTAGCTTTTTGAAACGAGGAAGTTGAAGAAGTGTAATTTCTTTTATTATTAATGAAAAATGGGTGGGCCCCAATCTCCACTGATTGACCCAAAAACCAAATAGGAGCTTGGCTTTCTCGCTGCTGTGCGCTCTCAAAAGTCAATAGCTCATTTTGTTTTTGTTTTGATTATTTCTACATTTCTCTCAATGTACATTACTAGTGAAAATCAAAGCATCAGTGTTATAAACCTGACAATTTCTGATCCATGTCGCCAATTCAGATGAGGAATTGCTCGAGATCGAATCGGTTTTGGGATGGTATGAGTTCCCACTAATTCCTTGTAAAATCCCTTTGTTTTTTATCTTTTTTTTTTAAAGTAATATAATGTTGTACTTAAACTTCTATTTTAATTTCTTTTTTAAAAGGTTGACCAATAAACCTCTATTATATTTTAATTTTTTTTAAAAAAAGTTGACCAATAAACCTCTATTATAATTTTTATTTTATTTCATATATATTTAAAAAAATTTCTAGATCACCAATTTGGGCGATCCGAGAATGATTCATATCGCTAATCCAGCCGTCCTCAATGGGGATTGAGAGTGGATGACTTGCCCCACTAGATTATTTTTTAAAAAGATTATAAACAATGTGACCTTTAATACAAAAAGACCACAAGTACACATAAGCCTCCAATGTGAAATCTTGATAGATTGGGTGTGTTACAAAATTGGAGAAATATTTTTTGAAGTTTGAACTTGATCAATTCAATAAATGCATCTATCATTCTATCCAATTTCACATCTAATAGTCAAGATTAATTGGAGCCACTTTGTACCAAAAGGTAAATTGTATCACTATATATTTTTCTTTTTTAAAAAAAAAATTTGTTTTGTACGCTAGACCGAGTGTAAAGCATCCATCTTAAAGATGGATGCAAGTAGGTGCTCCATCTAAAAACAATTTAAACTAACGATGCAAACGTTTTTTTAATAGAATTATTATTTCTAGTTTTAAAATTTTATTTATTTATTCATATTTAAGATCTCCATGTTAGAGATTACATGTCCTAAAAAATTAAGTCTTAAAATCCATTTTAAAATAGATTTATTAAGAGGCCCGCATTTCAACATATGCAGGCTTGGCCGCATAGAAACCGGGGTTTTTTTTAAATATTGGCTAGCATGAAAGAAAAACAAAAAAAAAAAAAGTTGAGTCCACCCTCCATAAAGCGATCATCTGGCATAAAAGGTATCCTTTTTCATTTCCGCTTTTGTTCCCACTGGCCTCTACCATCACATTCGCATGTATTCCAAAAACATGAACAATGTACATAAAGAGAGCACGAAATAAAACGCTTGGTTCAAAAATAAAACAAAAAACAAATATACAGTGGCTTCTTGTTGTGACCTCTGGGTATCCATGATACCTCCCTCTTTCTCTCTCTTGAATTGAACTCTCTCTCTTGAATTGGCCTCTCTCTCTCTCTCTCTCTCTCCGATGTGCCTACCCACATTTTCTTCGAAACTTCAGAACCAATTCAAACACCAAACCAGAACAAAAAGCAGAGCTCCAAAGAGGAGAAGGGAGCTCTTGACCAAAGGGCGCGAACCATGAGAGCCGTGGATGGAGCCACGATCTATCAGAGACTGGCCCATGCTCGCAGCCGAGCAGCCCCCGAAATCGAGCCTCATAGCAAAAGAAGGTGTCATCTCCGAGCCACAACACAACCCGGCATTGCCCTCGAGCCGCAGCTTCGGCCCCAATCTCCCAACGAAATCAGCCGAGAATGGAACCACGCCGGTCAACCTGTTCGAGCTCAGGTCCATGTGTTGAATGCTCTCGAGTCGCGAGAGCTCGAATGGTATGGACCCAGTTAGGGCGTTGTGGTCCAGGGCCAAGTGCGCGAGGCCATGGAGCTCGCCCATGGAGCTTGGTATCTCACCAACAAGGTCTGTTCTCGATGCGCCCAGGCTCACCAGACCCACCAAATGGCGCCATATCTCATCCGGCAAAGAGCCACCCAATGGGTTCTCGCTCAATTGAAGGTCTCTCAAATGACGCATTTTTGAGATGATGGACGGAAACCCGCCGGAAAGATTGTTCCGGCTAAGATCAAGCATCTCGAGAATAATCAAGCGGGCAAAGGCTGCCGGAATCTCACCAGAAAACACATTCTCACTCAAATCAAGCTTGGAGAGCTTCGAAAGGTTGCCCAGACTAGATGGAATCGTGCAGCTCAGATTGTTTCGGCTTAGGTCAAGAACCACCAGAGCTCCTAAACCACCAATGGAATCGGGAACACACCCACTCAACTCGTTGTTGCTCAAATCTATCTTCTCAATGCGAGCAAGGTTCCCGAGCTCGAAAGGCACCGGGCCAGCAAGCAACGAGCCTGAGATCACGAGACGACGGAGACCAACGAGTGCACCAAGCTCTTGAGGCACCGCTCCGGAGATGGCAGTGTTCTCATGGAGGACAAGCTCCTCGAGCTGAGGCCCTAGAGAGCCAAGATAGGGAGGGAGGGTAAAAGTACCATTTCGACTCTCGGCCACAAAGCAGCGGTAGAAGAAGAGGGAGTTGAGAAAGGGGAGGTTAAGGATTGAAGGGGAGAATGAGGCGTTGGTGGCGGAGCAAGGGGGGTTGTTGGAGTAGTCGGAAACCCAACCGAGGCTGAGCTTCGTAACATGGGCGAGGCTGCTGTTCGCTGAGTCAGGATCACAGGCAACGCCATGGGGGCCCGCGGAGCAGAGGTCGGAGGGGTAGGCTGACCGCCAGTCGACTTCAGGGTTCGCCGCCTCCAAAACCGAGTAGACCGCTTCCTGTTCCTTAGTGTCCAGGGCTGGGTCTGGATAGTAGTAGTCGTCTGAGACTTGGGCTTGAGCTTGGGCGTACAAAACCAGCATAAGCAACATGAAAGCACGACATTGAGCCATGTTCAGGCACATTGGCAAGAAACCAGAGAGAGAGAGAGAAAGTTCTAGACAAACAAACAGGAGGAATAAGGGTCAATGACTAGAGAGAGAAAGACACAGGAATAAAGACGAAATGGTGGTATATATTTTAGAGAGAGAAAGAGAGGAAAGAAACAGGAGGGAATAAGGGTCATAAGAGCAATGACCAGAGAGAGAAAGACACAGGAAGAAGGACGAAATGGTGGTATAATATTTTAGAGAGAGAAAGTGATATAGAGAGAGAGACAGAGAGAGGGGAAGAGAATGGAATGTAAGAGTGTATATATATATTGAGAGGTGAGTGGGGGGCAAGCATGGAGAAGAAAGCGGCTTATCGTACGAGAGGTGGAGGGGGGTGAGAGGGAGGGGTTATCAGAGGCGGTCGGAGAATGGGGGAACGCCGGTCCAGAGCACCCAGACCGTTATCGGTGCGCTCTGTGTCAGTCTAAGTCTAGAGAGAGAAAAAGAGAACAACGTCAATTCTAGAGAGAGAAAAGACCACCAATTCTAAAGAGAGAAGAAGAGAGAGATCTGAGAATCTTCGGGCTCGTGCCAAATGTGAACCGAGTTTGAAAGTTTACAGGACAGTGGCGGGTGTGGAGAGGGAGAGAGAAAGAGAAAGAGGTTTGGAGTTAAGAGAGAGAAAAGATTGTAGAGAGAGAAAGAGGGAGCGACATCGAATATTGTGTCATGGGGTTAATGAATCATGATTTTGTTTGGTCGTGAGGGCGACCCAACCGGACGCCCGGCGCCTCCTTTTTCTGAGCCCCGACCTCCTCCTGCTACCGCTGCCGCTGCTGCTGCTGCTGCTGCTGCTGCTGCCAAACACACACACACACAACACGCTCAGATTCTATTACCAGCCCAGATGCCCAACCCGCATAACACATAAAATCCAAAATACACTCCCTACTACCGCTGGAGTATACTATCCATTACTCCCTTGCCTAAAACACATGCTAGCTATATCTTTTGATCTCAAATTTCGGGAATGCAATCTCTACCACCCCTATACTAATCTCAATTTTTTTAAAAAAAAAACACCCATACAAACTGGTGCCTCGAGGCTGTATAATTTTTTAAGGCCTGGATCTAAGTGTTATAAGAATCAAATTCAATTTTCTTTTTTGAAATTAATCATCTAGTAATTATTATATAGTTCCAAAGACTCGAGATAGAAAAAAAAAAAAAAGTTTTGAGTTTTGTATAAGTGTCAACCTTGAAAAATCACACTTTCAAATTCTCGTTAAAAGATATATTTTTTATGCCGAAACTATCATCATGGTTTAAATGTCTATTTTTTATCTTTATTATAAAATTGAAAATTCCAAAAATAGTGCAGATCTATGAACAATTAAAAGATGTACTATTTTTAGGGCTTAAAATTTATTTTCTCTTTCATATCCATACATATCGAGGTTAAAATAATCGATTATAGAATTTTTTAGTGGCTAAACAACTTTCTTTCCATGGGTTTTTAAGGTACACTTTATTCTTATAGTATAAACTTTTTCCAAACAAAAATGGGAAAAGTTCATACAGAGCCGGGGCTCTAAACAATCAAATTAGAGCCCACATAAAAAATTTCACTAGAAGAGGTGGTTTTGATGTCCAAATATCCTCAAATTAATCATCTCAACATCAAGATGCATGGACATTAAAAAAATGGATTTTGGATTTTGGAAATAGTACATCTTGTAACACATTTTTGGACTGTCAATTTTTTAGATTTTCAAGTTTTTAGATCTACACTATTTTTTTAGCTTTAAATTTTATAATTAAAAATATATATATATTTTAAAGTTATCACAAAGATTTTCAATATTAAAACTATATTCCTCGACACTAGTTGAAGGTGTGCTTTACTTTGATTGTTTAGAGCCTCTGCTCTATACAAACCACACCCAACAAAAATTCCTAAATGGGTGTTTTGGGTGAGGAAGTACATGATCAGTATACTCCTGCGGGATCATCCTTTTGACCTCCTTGTTTGTGTCCTTTGCTCCCATTTAATGGCATTAGTTATTGATTGTTGGATCAATAATTTTTCTTGGACCGTTTGCTCTGCTAAATAATAAGTGATTTATACTGTTCGTCTCCTCCAAAAGATGGAAAAACTTTCTAATAATGATAGATACGTACGATGAAAAGTATAATAAAACCGCTGGTTTAGTCTACTCTAACCTATGCTATTATATATGGGAAAATGGTTTGATAGGGCTGCAGCCCTATCAAAAAAAGTAAATCTACTTGATCTCCACAAAATCATTATATCGAAATAGAACATATCACTAAAACGTTAAATTATTCAGGGTAAGTTGATAATTTCTCCACTGTTATTTATAATATATACGAGCATGTATTCTATGCTCTTAGAGGAGTAAATTGTATGTATGTTCAAGCTAAAGTAACACTATTTACTTTTGGTAAAGGGAAATCACAAGCATTATTGACCTAACCGCTAGATATAAAATCAGGCAATTGGAGATGTGTCAAAGACTAAGCACAAAGTCCAAAATAAAATTTATCGAATGTTGTGACATACTTCTATCCATTAGATTTCACATCCAATGGGTAAGAATGATTGTAATCACCTTGTATCAAAATTGAATAGTCTTATAGTATAAGATCCATTTTTTTTAACAAAAGTTTTGAAAACCACTTGAAAAAAAATAGATGATTATATTTATATATTTTTAACTAGATGATTATATATAGATTTTTTGAATGTGAACTAGGTGAGCAATTTTTTTTGGAAACATTAAATAGTTTTCAAAATGGGTTAACATTGGTAGAAATGGAAACCGAGACCAGTAGATGAGTCATAGGTAGCACTCCCATAATGACCTCAACCATATTCCTAACTATATGATTTTATTTAAAAGAAAAGTTTTGAATTTTGAGGTCGAATCTGAGCTATTAGTAGTGGGTGAGCAATTTTTTCATGAAAACGCGACTGAATTGGTCCTAGTTATTCTTCAGGACGGAGTGGAAGAAGGGAAGAGATTATCAAATGAGAAAAAAGGTCCAATTAATTTGAAAGAATTGAATGTGGAGCCGTATGAAGTGAAAATCTCATGTATGGTTCTGTAGAGTGACAATAAGGGTGACTTGTTTGTCAACATTTCCACTATCACCCCCAAAAAACCAAACTCTTTTGTACGTAAAGTTGGAGCCGTATGAAGTGAAAATCCCATGTATGGTTCTGTAGAGTGACAATAAGGGTGACTTGTTTGTCAACATTTCCACTATCACCCCCAAAAAAACAAACTCTGTTGTACGTAAAGTTGCCAAAGTATGATTAACATCTGGATTTGAAATCACTAGTTATATACCTTGTATTGGCCACAATTCACAAGAACATTCTTGAAACCTTTAATAGCTTTTGAAAAAGGTTAGCATTGGTATGAATGGAAATCGGAACCAGTAGCTAAGTCACAAGTGGTGCTACCACCTTGACCTCAACCCTATTCCTAATTAGATAATTATATTTAAAATAAAAAAAAACTTTTTGAATTTCGAGTTTTCTGACACTAGAATTTCACCCTTAAAAAATTGGATGGTTTTTATTCAATTTTGAGACATTATTTCCTAGATGATTATATTTAAAAGAAAACTTTTGAGTTTTGAGCATTCTAGCATTAGAATCTCACCCTTAAAAAATTGGATGGTATTTATTCAAAATTGGATGGTATTTATGCAATCTTGAGATATTATTTGTTTAACACCACAAAGGATGTGATTTAGAACTTTTTTATTTTATTTTATTATTGAGTGTAGCATTTGAGTTGATTTGGTTACATCCCTAAAACTTGGATATCCAGTTTTGTGTGAGGGAATAAATAGACAGTATGCTCCTCAAGAACCTTTTGGCAACTTATACAAAGTGAGTAGTCCAGTTTTATTGGGGTTTAGAATTACACAATCCTAGATCGTGTGGACAGTTGATTAGTTCCTGAAATGATGAAGAGCATGATGGAGTCTAGAAGAGCCAGGCTTGATTTTGTGGACCATCACTTTGCCAAAAGAAGTGATTTGGACAATCAATCGTATGGGTGGTGCGGTAGGGTACACCTCCCAGATTATTCACACCGAGCCAATCATGAAGCAATACCACCATCGTGATACACGGACGGTTTTTAGAGTACCACCTCTTGCCTTCCATCACAACTTAAATAGGGAATTCGCATCCCTCTCCCTAATCATACCATACCCGTCGGAGTTTAGGGGTAGCAACGGGTGGGGTACCCTACGGAGTTTAGGGATAGCAACGGGTGGGTCCGGATTCGAAAATATAATGTAGGACTGAGATAGAGATCTTACCCAAAAATCAAAATATCTAAAAAAAATTGTATAAATATCCGTTTTATTTTTCTCTATTATTAAAATACTGAAACCTTTTCATTATTAATCATACTGTCTGTTTTTTTTTGTCTTTTAATTAATTTTATTAAAAAATCAAAATAAATTTGATTTTGATTTTTGAAAAACTGAAAATGACCCATCCGCTCTGAATTTTCGGTCTCTTTAATTTTTTTTCTCTCTCTCTCTCAAAAGAAATTTGTACAATTTTCTCTCTCTTTCCTTTCTCATCCTCCTGCCCTTTGCCTCTGCCCTTTGCCTCTGCCCTTTGCCTCTGTTGCTTCCTTCTCTCTACTCTGAAACTTGCCTATTTTCCTCATCTCTATCTATCTGACTCGGGTTTTTCTATCCTCTCAGTGTTTCTCTCTCTAAGCTCTCTTCCACATCTGTTCGCTCATTGACTTCTGTTCTGTATTTTCTTTCTCTTGGCGTTTCTTTCGAACTCCCATCTTCTACTTATTGGTAGTTTCCGCCCTCTCTGTCTAAACTCACCATTTTCACCGCTTCCTTGGATCTTTATACTTTTCTTCTTCTTGTGCATTTCTAGTTTCCTCTCTCTAACTCTGGAAGGGTATAATAGGAAAAAGGTAGTGTCAGCAAAACCGTTCACGATCAGTAAT